CTCAGCCGACTGAGCCACCCAGGTGCCTCCGTTTGCTTTGAGGACAATGCTCTTGCCTCTTCTCTGTCCAGCATGCCCCAAACCACAGATCCTCCATTTTACTTCCTCCAGACTCCCAGTCTTTTGTGCAAGGTGGGAAAAAGGTTCTTGACACCCAACTATTAACTTTCCAAACCTTATTTTAGCCCCCTTCTTCTCCTCTACTTCCATATGAAGGTGATGCTTCCGATCTCCGGCCTTTTGCAGACTTACTGCAGAGTAAATCAAGGGGGCGCTCAGCTTTCCTCACTACCAGTGTATATTTCCATATTCTTGAATCTGCTAAGCCATCTACCATCTGTCCTTACGCTTCTCAGCTCCCGAAGTGTTGTTGCTATTGAGTCCTTCTGTTTTGCTTGACTTCGTGGGTTTATGTCTTTTTTATTTAATCCCTTTAAATGTCACGCTAATGGAGTTTTGATAGAGATCCAAGATAAATGTATGTGTTCCATCTGTCAGTTTTACTCCAGAATCACATCTCCCAGGAATTTCAAATTTCAACCGAGACGGTAGAGATTGGGATTTTCAGGAGCTTTAGCCTATTAATTCTGTTATTTTTATACGACATTTGATTCTGTTAACAGCTTCTTCCCAAAAGCTCCACCTCCGTGGCATATCAAGACCCAAGCAATTAGGGCAGTGGGCACCAGAGGCAGTCAAGGAGCCTCTAAATAATTTAAAACAACACAAAGGACTAAAAGTCCGCTTTTTATTACCAACATGTGCCAGGAACAAAACAAGATCAGTGATGAAAACACTCTTTTCTGAAAAATCTTTTGTTGCACTAAGTTCTAAACAATGTCTGCAGTTACTGTTGACTTTTAATAATATATGTGTAGGCTTCGATATAGCACCTTTCTATCCGTTATCCTTTAAACTAACAAGGAAGTTAATTCACAGAACATGGAGAAGGAGAATAGAGTTGGCCTGTGACAGCCATGCACGTAGCCGAGTTAGCTCAGTTCTGCCATTTATGTACCATCATGTCTCTACATCTTGCGGAATTCTTTTGAAAACACTTGTGGAAACTTCTCTTCGTGTTTTTTTCTTCCTCCCCCTCACCGCCGCCAAAAAAAAAAAAAAAAAAAAAAAAAATACATTAAATAATTAAAAGGTGTTGATCCATTGCTATTTTCTTATTTCGTATTGCGAATTTTACTTTTATTTGTAGAATTATTTTGCTGGCCTGTTTCTATTCATAGTTCAGTCAAAGAAAACGTTCACTGTCTGCTTTTCTTTCCAGGCTATTATTATTAGCTGTGTTATAAAAATTACCGGCTCCAGGTGTTAAATTAGGTGCACATCACTCATTTCCCACGAGCACCAACTGGCCCTTCTGTGTCATCCTTATAAAATGGAGACAGCCCTTTGCCAGAGTTTCCTTTTCTATCCATTTCTAAATGCAGACCTTTCCTAGGGCGTGGCCTGAGCTCTCTTCTCATCTCTTTTTATCCTCTTTTCCAGTGTAATTTAATCCATTCCCATGGTTTTAAATACAATCATAATGCTACTGACTCTTTTAGCTGACATCCCTAATCCAGAATCCTCTTCTGCGTTTAAGACCAACGTCCAACTGTCTAATGGATCGCTAGGTTTTAATGCCTTCCCCAAATCCAGCGTCACTTAATATGTCCAAAGCCAAACTCTTGATTTCCAAATCCTGCCTCACTTTCCCCATCACTGTCTTCATTATCTCAATGAAAGGCACTACCATCTACTTAGCTGTTCAAGCCATTCTTGTTTTTTCCCCGATCTCTGACCAGCATATCCAAAATCAGTTTAATCCAAGAAATTTAAGCTCTAAAATATGTCTTGAGTAACATCCGCTTTCTCTCCAAACCCACTGCCACTAACTAGTCCAGACCAGCCATCCCTCACCTGGACCAATGCAACTGCTTCCCAACTGGTCTCCTTACTTGCACTTCTGGCTTCTCCAACTACTCCTCCAAAGAGCAACCAGAGTGACCTTAACATACTTAGAAATTTGAGAAATTCCCACATTAGTCCTTGACCTGTAAGAGTTATCATGGCAGGGAAGGACAAATGGACACCTCTACAACTGCACCTGAGTACATAAAAACAATCAAAAACCAGAAGGCGGGGGGGGGTATGGTGGGTGTTAGTGTCACCCTTAGGGATCTCAAGGATGCAGGAGGGGTGGTCCCTATCAAGTCTCCATTTAAGTCATGGGCCTGGCCACTGCGAAAGCTGGATGGCTCTGAGAAAATGATTGTCAATACTGCAAGTTCACCCAAGTAGCAGCCCTGATTGCTGCTGCCACACAAGTGTGGTATCTTTGCTAGAGCAGATTAGAGTGGCCTTAGGTACATACAAGGTGGCCGCTGATCGGGCCAAATGTATTATTTTCTACCTCAGTCGGGAAAAAGGATCAGGAAGTTCACATTTACATGGAATAGATAATAATGTATACTCATATAATCCTCACATTCACAGGGTCATGTTAATTCTAATCGCTGTCAAAATATAGTCTGAATAGATCAGGACCATCTAGATATCCCACAAAACATCACACGGATCCAATACATTCAGACTGGCAGGTGAGTCAAATATGACCCACCTGTTTTTGTAGGGCTCACAAGCAAAGAATGCATTTTACACTTTTTAATGGTTAAAGAAAAAGATCAGATGAATAGGCAGAGCACAAAGGATTTGTAGGGCAATGAAACTATTCTGTATGACATTATAATGGTAGATACTTGTCACTCCGTCTTTGTCCAAATCCACAGAACACCAAGAGTGAATTATAATGTAAACTATGAACACCGGGTAATGATGATGTGTCAATGCAGGTTCATCATTTGTAACAAAGGTACCACTCTGGTGGGGGATGTTGATAGTGGGACAGGCTGTGCGTGTGTGGAGGCAGAAGGTATATGGGAAATTCCTGTGCTTTCCATTCAATTTTGCTGTGAGCCTAAAACTTCTCTTAAAAAGTGAAGCTTACTAACGTAGAAAAGCAAGATCAAAATACTAAGAATGTTTTGTGACACATGAACATTACACGACATTCAAATTTCAGTGTCCATAAATAAAGTTTTGTTGGAACACAGCCACACCACTCTGGGCCCCTTGTGTCCAATGGCCAGCAGACAAGAAGTCACCATGGTAGGGTAGCTGACCCCGAGCAGCAGGACAAGGTATAAGTGCTGTTAGGCAGTGAAGGTGTTCAGGAATTCAGAAGATTATGCAGGTGCCTCTTGGCACCCCCTTATGACAGCCCGCTGTGTCTGTGAACGGACAGGTGCAACAACCCTAGCCTGAGAAGGTCATGATTATCAGTCTCAGACCCTTCAGGAACGAGGGAACGAGGTTGTGTGTCACACAACCAGATAAGCCCCTGGGACCAGCAGAAGTGACAGCTGAGGTCCACTCCAGAAATGCATGTGGAAGGCAGGCAGGTTGGGATGGAAGGAGGAAAGAAAGACCTCTGAGGGCAGGTCACGGACGGCATGTGTCTTCAGTGTATTGCTCACAGTGCATGGCATAGCAGCGTCTCAATAAAAGTGCTGAAGGGACTATTATTTCCGTCTTTGACTTTACAGGTGTATTGAATGTCTTAATATCCCGTACTTTGCTTGAACGCTCTGGAAGAAACTTTTCCTATCTCATCGAGAAACAAGTCCCGCTCACACGTGGGGCCCGCCGGCCCCTCCCCGCAGGACCTCCCGCCCCAGGAAGGCGCCCGCCTCGTCCCCGCCCTGCGACGCCGTCACCCCGGGCGCTCCGCTGCGGACCCGCCCCGACCCCCGGCTCACCGCCTCCGGGCTTCCAGGCGCGCCGCGATGCGGAGACGCCGGGCCTGGATCCGCTCCTGAGGGTTGTCGGAGTGTATGGACGGCCCGAGAATCGGGGTGGAGGAGTGTTCCTCCTCCTTCTCCAGGGCCCCCAAGGGCCCAGGCGGATTCATGGCAGGTGCCTCCCGCCGCAGGCAGCTGCCTAAGGAACACCGCGAGACCACCGCCCGGTTGCCAGCAACAAGCCGTTGCCAGGGTGCAGTCACCTGACCCGCAGCTGGAGTGCGCGCGCAGGCCTCCTCAGGCTCCGCCTACCGGCATCCAGAACGTGGTGCCAGTTGGTGGTTTTTATCCTGGAGATAATACGCCCGAGGCTCCACCTTGGAGAGGTGAAAATTACATCACTCAGCCCTGTACAAATAGCGCCTAGCATAACACCTAATGTGTAGTAAGTGCTCAACCAGTGTTTGCTGAATGACAGGTACACAGATGTATCTGTATGCTCACTGCAGTTATTATATTAAAAAACTGGCATGACCCCAAAGTCCATCCATCAGTAAGGGAACTGATCCAGCTTTCATTGGGTAGAAGCCAATGCAGCCACCAAGAATGGGGCTGACCTAGAAAGGCATAAAGCTATATTACATGAGGGAGAGATGCAGCCCAGTATATGGAATGTGATCGAAATTTTACTTGAAATATATATAGTACCGACACGAGAAAAATGAACACAAAGCAGGGCCAATATCAAGTTACTGCCTGTGTTCTCTTCTAGGATCTTTATGGTTTCAGTTCTCGCATTTAGGTCTTTAGTCCAGTTTGAATTTATGTTTGTGTGTGGTGCAAGAAAGTGGTCCAGTTACCTTCTTTTGCGTGTTGCTGTCCAGTTTTCCAACATCATTTGTTGAAGAGACTTCTTTTTCCCATTGAGTATTCTTTACTGCTTTGTAGAAGATTAATTGACCATCTAGTTCTGGGTTCATTTCTGGGTTTTCTATTCTGTTCCATTGATTTTCATGCCAGTACCATAGTGTTTTGATGACTACAGCTCTGTAATATAACTTGAAGTCCAGAATTGTGATGCCTCCAGCTTTGCTTTTCTTTTTCAAGGTTGCTTTGGCTACTCGGGGCCTTTTGTGGTTCCATACAAATTTTAGGATTGCTTGTTCTCGCTCTGTGAAAAATGCTGTCGGTATTCTGATAGGGATTGCATTAAACGCGTAGATTGCTTTGGGTAGTATAGACATTTTAACAATCTTTGTTCTTCCTATCCAGGAGCATGGAATGTCTTTCTTTGTGTTATAGTTTTCAGAGTATAGGTCTTTCTCCTCTTTGGTTTATGTCTAGGTAACTTATTGGTTTTGGTGCAACTGTAAATGGGATTGATTCCTCAATTTTTCTTTCTGCTGCTTCATTATTGGTATACAGAAATGCAACAGATTTCTATACATTGGTTTTGTATCCTATGTGTTGTATGCAAGTGTTGAATCACTGTATTGTACATCTGAAACTAATATTACACTGTATGTTAACCAGCTGGAATTTAAATAAAAAATTAAAAAAAAACAAAAACGGATACATGCACCCCAATGTTCATAGCAGCATTTTCTACAATAGTCAAATTATGGAAACAGCCCAAGTGTCCATCAACTGATGAATGGAAAAAGATGTGGTATATATACAATGGAGTATTACTCAGCCATAAAAGTAATGAAACCTTGCCACTTGCAACGATAGAGTATTGCAATGGATAGAGTATTATGTTAAGCAAAATAAGTCAGAAAGACAAATATCATATGATTTCTCTCATATGTGGAATTTAAGAAACAAAACAAACAAGCAAAGTGGGGTGGGGGGGCAAACCAAGAAGTAGACTCTTAACTATATAGAGAACAAATAGATGGTTACCAGAGGGAAGGTGGGGGGAGGGGGTGGTTAATAGGTGATGGGGATTAAGGAGTGTACTTGTTGTAATGATCACCGGGCATTATATGCAAGTTTTGAATCACTGTATCGTACACTGCATGTTAACTAATTGGAATTCAAATAAAAACACGGTGGGGGGGGAGGGGGAGAAAGAATTAAAATGTATATTTGCCCAAATATACAGTGCTTTCATAAAGCTTTCGATTTGGCAAGAAAAGAAAAAGAACACAAAGTAGTGGGTATCTCGGGGGGCTGGGTCCACAGGTGGTTTTAACTTTCTAAACAAAAAGTTTACCGAGGCACCTGGGTGGCTTAGTTGGTTGAACCTCCAGCTCTTAGTTTCGGCTCAGGTCATGGTCTCACGGGTTTGGAAGTTTGAGCCCCACACCCCTCTCTGCACTGACAGTGTGGAGCCTGCTCGGGATTCTCTCTCCCCCTCCCTCTCTGCCCCTTCCCTGCTTACTCTGTCTCTCTTGAAATAAACTCAAAAAAAATTTTTTTTTAATTAAAAAAAGCTTACAAATAACAAATCACTTTTGACATAATAAAACAGTTGTTGTGTTGTTGTCTTTAAAGGGTCGTAACAGGAGATCCTGAAGAGACTGCAGCAGGCCAATGTCACGGATGAGAGGGATGTGGGGGAGGGTTGTAGGTGATGTCTGCCGTGATGACTCACAAGCATCCAGAGTCTGGTCCGCCTTGGTAGGCACTACTCCAAAAGCAGAGCTGATTTGAGAATGCACTTACACTAATGAGCTCATGAAAGAAAAAAAGCATACCCTAATTCGAGCAGGACACTGCAATTGACATACAAAGCTTGTTTATTTATGGCTTGAGACCAGCATATGTCTGTGGCCGATCTACAAATGGAATCCAACTATAACTGGCAAGTTTCTTGATGCTGTGCGATTGGCTGTAAGGAACTCAAGGGCCCACAGTGGGTATAACTTGCCACAAAGACTAGGTAGGTCAAGTCCTTTCACCTCCATCCCTGGGTAAGTTTGGGGTAATACATGCAAACCCTTCTGGCTATATGGGCTTCCTTTGCCAGGCTACAGGCTGGCCGTCTACCTTCAACGTACAGTCTTTTTCCAGACTAGATTTTAGTATACCAAGTCCAGTCACATACTTAATTCCACATCCATAAAATTACACCAGATCGCCTTAATTGGGGTTTGGGGATTCATCAGACATTTACATAATTTCTTGGCTTATTCTTGTCTCCCAATTTGTGTGAATTTTACTACGATTCTCAGCAGGCAATCTCACTTTATTCATTTCAAGTTATTTTTGGAACTGCCTCACCATCATCATGTACTGACAACAAAAGGTACAAAGGATGGCACAGAGAAGGAAAGAAGGGAAGTCATGAGTAGGTGATCAGGCTTCGGGAAAAGTTCAGAGGCAAAAAAAAAAATAGAGAACTAGATGTTAGTAGAAACTGAGCACCTACCTCAGACCACCCACCCACTGTGCCAAATACCTCCGTGCATCATTCACAGCACATGTGCGTGATCACAGTAATGTTACTGTGAAGAATTTTACAAGTGAAGAATTGGAGGCTTAGAAAAAATAAGTAACTTGCCCTGGGCCAAAGCTCGCCAAGCTGAACATGACTAAGAAACAGTCATGGCATTAAAAGTTTGGGAGGTCTTGAGAAACTTTCAGAATGAAAGCAAAAAGACAAGTGGAAGGAGCAGATACCAAGTTCTCCTTAAGGAAATTTGGGAGCAAGGAAAAAAGATGCAAAGTAGGAAGAAAAGCAAAGACGCTTTGGAGGTGCAGGGTCTAAGCCTGGACGGACCCAAGCTGCTTACCTGGTGCGTGCCTGCTATGTGTTAGGTACCCGCTAGGTTTTCGAGATTTGTGGACAGAAGGGCAGGAGGAACTGCTGGGGCGACTGAGAGGCTGGGTGGCACAGGGGATTAAAAGCACACCGCTGGAGAGGCAGCCCCGGGGCAAAATACAGGGCATCTTCCCCTCACCTTCTTCAAAGCCTGTTAGAGACAAAAACTTTAAATGCCTGCTGCCAGAGCTGGGAACCACTTCCGATGTAAAAGATAGGAAATATTCTCAGAAGCAATGTTAGAAAATAGGGGTTTTTAAAATAAAAGCTTGTGATTTATAAGCTGAAGTAAACTTTGGGTGTACTAAGTGTATGTCATTAGATTCTTGTGGAATTAGCCTGGGAAATTAACACCATACATTTTTCTGTGAGAAAATGTGTTTAAGACAACCACCTTCCCAACTAATTGAAGTGTGACCCAGTTATTATTATACACTGCCCAGCACCCAGTTCTGGGGCAGTCAAGAGCAGGACACTACGAACAGCTGTTACTGCCACCTGCCTGCTACTCGGCTTCCTGAAACAAGTCACAGGGTTGTAGAACACCCAGGAGCAAGCAGGCGGATCACTCTTTAAACACACAAAACAAAAAACCTTGCACTATGCTGCTCTAAAGTAATCAGTGATTCTGAGACAGCATTCTTCTCCCTCAGAGCACCCTCCCCTCTTGCATCTACCAAGGAAAAATAAAGAAGACAATCTGAAAACAGTTAAAAGGATTTAAAAATTATTTACTCTTTACTTTTATTACAATAAATATTTATCAATAATAGAATGAAACAATTTTAAATTAAAACCTACTGCATTACTTTTGGGGTTCACAGCAGCAGAAATAAACATAAATCCAGTTCAGAAGGCAAGGCTTCCAGAACCCACTGGCAAGAAAACAGTCAGGTCTTGATTATCGGGGCCAGCAATGGGGAACAGTAACACCAACGATGCAAAAGTTAACAGTGATAGGATCTATTTGTGGACCAAACTGTCTACGACTTCACAACACTGCAGATAAGGAACTTTTAAGCAAGTTGTAAAGCCCCGTTTCTGCAAGAGCTAGATCTCTTCCCCCCTCGAGCTCTTGAGCACAACAACTGCTCCCAGAGCTGCCTTCTGGCCAGGGATGGGCCCCACCACCATTCAGAGCCAGAAGACTCAAACCTGATGGAAGCAGCCGTCTTCTTCAAAAGCTGTCTTTCTGGCTCACAATCCCTGGTGGAAGGGAAACAGAAAGAGATGTATTTCACAAGGGCCTTCCGCAGGGATTGAGATGAACTGCAAGTAGGAATGACTGTGGCTCTAGAGGAGGAAGAGGCTTCGGAGTTGGGGGCTATGTGCCGATCAGGTCAACAGGAAGAGACAATCTAACGAGGGTGTACCATTTTGCAGATAATCAAGAGCACACTG